AAAAAAAAAAAAAACAATTACAAAGTTACTTTTAATACTTTTTTATTCCCGTGAGGTGAGCCCCAGAGGAATAAAAAAGAACTCTGGGAAGGGGTAACCCCCCACCCCCCAGGAATAGCCCAGGGGGTGAGAGGCTCCCTGAGGGGTAGAAAGCACAGAAGAGACCGCCATGGAGTCAGCCTCCTTTGTTCCACAAGCCATACTCACTCCCTCAGGACAGGGCTGCCGCTGGAGTGCCCCAAGGTCCTGGTTCTGACGGGCCCCAACCAGAACAGCAGGCCCAGCTCCCACAGGGGAAGAGCTGAGACACAAGAAATGAACACGGACAGCACGGAATAGTTCACAAGCACCTTCCACTATGTTCTCGCTCCTGATCCTGACGACCTCAGAAGATGGTGCTATCATGATTTTATGAATGAGAAAACTGAGGTTCAGAGAACTGGGACATTGGCTCAAAGTGACGTGCTAGGTGAGTAGAAGGTAATCCCGCTGCCAGGTTCTCAATCTGGTGCTTCCTTGGCTGGGGGCCCAGCTCTGGGCAGGAGGAGGTTTGTGGGGTAGGAGACCGAGGAGGAGCTCAGTTGGCCAGCCCTGCAGGGCAGCATCAGCCTCCCCCTGTGGTAGCAGCCCTGCCCGGGGGCTCCTCACGCCTCCCAGCCCCTCCGGGCTATGGGCAATGGGTTGGCCCAGCCCGTTTTCACAGCCTGGCGGGCTCTGCTCTTCCTCTAAGACCAAACATGCACTCCGTACAATAGACTGCTTGTGACATGAAGTCTCTTTTGGAGGAAGAGCCCCAGGGCTTTCTGGAACAGGGAAGCCCCGCTGGTTGCTGCAAGCATGCTACCCACAAACAAGAATCCTGCCCCTGAATGAAATACACAAGTTCCAAGGTGTTTTCATGGCCACTTCCTCATTTAATCCTCATTTGAGAGGGGAGGAAGCTGAGCCTCTTCCTCCTTGCAGCCAGTGTCTAGCCCCAGGCCCCTCTGGTCTGGGCCAGAGTTAAGACAAATTATGGTCCTTTCCCATAAACCCGTCCACCAAGATATCAGAGGCTGGGAGGGGCTGGGCTTGGAGTTTGGAACTGGGCAGGGTTCATGGGGCTCACTCCTCCCCCAGGCCAGTCTCATTCACCAAGGCCATCAGGACTCCTGAGACCCTCTCAGACGTCAGGGCCCCTCCAAACCTAAGACAAGAAGAATGCTGGCTGAGAAATCGGAGAGGGGAGGGGAGCCAAGGGCTGGCTGCCTACTTCCTCCCCAGGAGTCCCCCCTCCCAGGCTCTCCTGGGCCTCAAGGCTGACTCCAGCAAGACCAAACACCTCTGTGCCCAGCCCAGCCCACCCCTGCCTGGAGAGCAGCACACCAGCATCTCTGCCCCTCAGAGGTAGTCAGCACATACCTGGGGCATTTCTACCAATCACCAGACACACCTCATCTGCACTACTTCAGTTATTTTTTAAATTAACGGTCAATTATCTACTATATCATCCCTTTCATTCAGGAAGCACTTTCACATCTGTGGTTTCCATTGGCCCCGTGAGGTCGGCCAGATGAGGGTTACTACCCCTACTCGCAGGGTAAGGCAAAGAAGACGCAGAGAGGGGAAGAGCCTTGCTCAAAATCACACCAGAAGTGGCAGATCAGGGCTTACAACGTCACCTTAAATGTTCTTTCCCCTTACTCTGCACTCTGCTGTCTACCAACCAACAGGCCTGAGCATTGTATTCTCCCTAAGCTCAGACTAAGCTAGGTGCTGGGGAAAACCTTCATGGAATGTCCAGTCTACCCAAGGAAACAACACTCATGCATGTGGAGATTCCCGGACTCTTCATCTTACAGGTGAGGAAACTGAGTTTTCAAGATAGTCAAGCGACTTGTCCCAGTGAATGATGGAGCCAGGATTTGAATTGGGCCTCCTCTTTCCCAATTAAATGACATTGTCAGCATACAGCATGGGTCCCGGGTGTGAAAGAATGTGGACCTCAGAGTAAGGGCTCTAGAAATCCAGAGAAAAAAGGAGCAATCCATTCATTCAGCAAACATTTGGTCATGAGCAAGATTCACTGCCTGGTGCTTGGCACACGGAGAAGATTAAGACCTGGTCTCATGTGTCAGGGAGCTCAGTAGAGCAGAGGTATTTAACTGTGCACAGAAAAGGGGAGGTGACCAGGCTGCCAGGGGAACATAGAAGAGGGGCCCAGCCTGACAGGGGGCTTAGAGAAGGCTTCTCGGGGTGAGGGGGTCCGAGGCGAGGCGTTGCTGGGCAGTGGCCTGCAGGACTAGATCATGTCACTACCCCATTTTGTGCAAGCTGTCCATGGCTTCCCAGGCACCCAGGATGGAGTCCATCTCCTTCCTTTGGTGTACCAGCCCTTACAATGAAGCTGGCTCTCCCTCTGCTCTCAGGGAAGCCTGACCCCCCCAACCCCAGCCAGGTGCCCCTCTACACTGCTGCATCTCCGTGTGCTCACCATGTGACACCGGGCACTCTGCATTGGCACGGCCTATCCTGTCTTCCTCCTCTACTACAGGGGAAGCAACTTGAGCGCAGGCTGTGGTCCCCTGTGCCCAGCACGAGGCCTGACAATAGAAGTTGTTTGATGATTGTTAAGTTAGTAGAGGATGTCACTCTGGTGCTTCCCCAAGATCCTCTCACTGCACCAAGTCACATCTCTCCCCTGCCAGAGCCTGTTCAGTCCGTCCTCCAAGAAGCCTTCTCAGATGAACTGTCAACAATCCAGACCCTCAGCACACCCAGCATCTACCCAACGCTTAGGATCTTCCATTTACTCATTTTTAAATGCATGTGTTGATGCCTGCTCCGCGCCGGGACTGCGTTCTGGGGGCAGAGAGAACAAGAGCTAGGCTGCATCCTCAAGAGGCAAGGAGTCTGGCAGGGGAGGCGGATCCGGGTAGGGAAATGCAGGCAGTGTGGCAAAAGTCATGCTGCACAGGGGCTGGTCGCAAACTAGAGCGGGCATGCGCTCCTGGGGCGGGGTGGGGGGGCTCCCGCCGCCGCTGGGACACCCGGCGCAGCCACGGCAGTTAGAGACGCCCCCACGCCCAGCCCCGCGGGCCACTCCCGCCACAGACAGCCCCGCCCCCTCCCCGCCGGCGTCCCGGCCCCGCGGGGCTTCCGCACCCGCCCTGACACCGCCCCGCGCCCAGAGGTGGAAGAGAGGGAGCCAGGCTGGCCTCCAGGACCGCTCCACCGCCGCCCGCGGGGCGGGGGGGCTGGTCGCTGACAGCACTCTGGGGAGGGAAGCACTCTGGGGAGGGGCATGCGCTGCCTCGGATGCCTACCTGGGGGCCAGACATTCCTGGGTGGGGTGAGGGCAGCACTCTTAACCCGCTTCCTGTGTGGTGGAGCAGGCCAGCCGGGGCCTGGGGGAGCCGCACGGGTCCCAAGCCTCTCACCCCTGGCTCTTAGCTCACAATCCCTGAGAGGCAGGGGAGGGGCTGTGGGGGGAGCTCTAGTTGGCAGAAAGGGGGACTTCAATTTACAAAGGAGCCTAGGCCACCCTGGGGGCGCCTTGGGGAATGGAGGGGTCTGGGAGGAGGGGACTGGTCTCTCTCCATCGTGGCCAGCAAGGGAAGGCTGGGGGCGGGGGGGGGGTGAAGAGACCAGAGTGCAGGGCGTGTGGGAGGTGGGCTGCAAGCGCTTTGGGGAAGATGGGGCTGTAAAGGATGGCTGGGGTCCAGACTGTGAAGGGCCCCCAGGTCAGGGCTTTTGCTGTTTGGTTCACTGCTGTATCTTTGCACCTATAAGAACTGCTTAGGCATATGGTAAGTCCCCCCCATCCCACCCCAGTATTTGTCGGGTGAATGACAAAGCGAGTAATTTACACTCAGTCCTGAAAATAGTTTAAAGCAGAGAAGTGACATGGTCAGTTTGGTTTAGAAAGACGATTCTGGCAGCTAGTGTGGAAGAAGGCTCTGTAATACTGCAGGAGAGATGAGGCAGGCCGGAGCAGGGACATATTGCTGGATGGCAACAGAAGGGAATGGGAGGAAGGAGCCAGACTAGGAGCCATTGTGAAAAGCATCCCAAGGGTGTGGGAGAGAAATGAGAGGGAGAAGGTAAGAGCCTCTCTGAGGGTCTCAATGTGGCAGCCGGATGAATAGTGTGCTACAGAAAGAAAGAAGCTTGTTAGTATTGGGTAGATTCCCGGACACAAGTTCTGATACCTGCCCCACATCCTCCCACCTGCCCTAATGCCGAGTTACAGTGGACCCCACAGGAGAATACGCAAGAGAAGGGGTGGAGTTGGGTGGTCAGGTGACACTTTGCTTCTGTTAGGAACCAGTAGGGGAAAGAGGAGCGAGCCCTGAGTAGCAACTAGCCACCTGCACTGTGCTCGGTGCTTTACGGACATCATCATCATCATCTTACTGGACGTTCTCAAATGCCCTCGACATTAGTATTGGCATTCCTATTCTCCAGAAGAGGAAATGGAGGATTTGTTGATTTTCATAATTGATGGAGCTGAGACCTAAACACAGTCCAACACTAAAGTCAGACCTAAGGTGTCTGAGAAACTAAAAGAGAAAACGAGGTTGGAGGCAACAAGTCCAGGAGTCAGGTCAGCTTCCTTCTATCCTTTGTCTTTACCTTAATTTGTCCATGCCACATGGACCATTCATGGCAGATTAAAAACTACGGCATACTAATTCTACTGCTGGCTTTAACTCTTGACCAGACTCATGCTGCAGCTCTACACTACCAGATGTGGAAATCTGAACGGGTTACTTTGCTTTCCTGAACCTATTTCCTAATCTGTAAGATGGGATTGTTGAGTGAACTAAACGATGTGCTCAGCACAGAGTAGAAGCTCAATCATTATCATCATTATTATTATTCTAAGGACACGATCATGCCTCTGTTAGCCTGGACATCCCCAAGGATTCCTTCTGAAGAGGGAGAGGAAGCAGGGGTAGCTACAAAAGACACGTGTCCCCATCCGTCAGAAGTTTCTAGCTTCCTCCTATTCTGGATCTCACAAGGAAGTAGAGAACGAGAACAGTACAGTTAGACTGTCTACACTTGTGCTAATACGGTAGCCACTAGCCACGCATGGCCCTGAAGCACCTGGAGTGTGGCTAGTCTGAACTGAGATGTGCTGTAGGTGCAAAGTGAACACCAGAGTTTGAATACTTAGTTCAAATATACATATAAAATAACACACTAATAGTTGTTTAGTATTATCTGCTGAAATGTTAACATTTAGGCTATACCGGGTGAGATAAAATATATTATTAAGTTCACCTGTTTGTATTTTTTAAGGTAGCTACTAAAAATTTTCAAGTCATACGTGTGGCTCACACGATATTTCCATTAATGCCACTGACTTAGATCCCTTCCAGGATATAAGTACATAGACATAGATGTCCATCCATTCATACATTCTTAGAGTATTTATTATGCGCCAGGCACTGGTTCAGGTGCCAGGAATAGAGCAGGAGACAAGACGGACACTGTTTCTGTCCTCGCAGAACTTACACTCAAGTGTGGGGGAAAGGCAACAAATAAGGTCTGCTCGTGAAAAGGGTGATGGAAAACAAAGCAGGGTGAGCCGTCACTTGGACGTGAGAGGAGTTGGGATTTCTGACAGGGTCGTCAGTGAAGTGATATGCGAGCAGCGACCTAAAAGATGAGAAGCCACAAACCAGGCAACGATCTTGGGGGCAGTGTTCTAGGCAGGAACAGCAAATGGAGAGCCTCCGAAGCAGAAATGAGCTTGATTTGTTAAACGGACAAGGTCATTGGGAACAGGGCGAGTACAGAGAACGGTGGATCACATAGAACCTTGGCAAGAGGCTTGGATTCTATTCTAAGTGTAATGAGAAATTCTTGGGTCATTTTTATGGAGCGGGGTTATGACCCGAATTCTCTTTGTGAAGGACAATGCTCCCAGTCTCTGTGGGGCTAGACTGAAGCAGGGTGAGAACGGGGGCAGGGAGGTGAGCTGGGAGGCCGCTGCACTAGTCCAGGCCAGAGACAGCGGTGGTCTGGCCCGAGGGGTCGGGGTGGAGGCGGTGAGAAGCTGTCAGATTTGGGATATATTTTGAAGACAGCTGAGAAGACTTGCTGACTGGTGTGGGAAGAACAAGCAGAATCGAGGATGACTTCGACTTCTGGCCTCAAAAAACAGAGGGAGCTAGGTGTTGATGGCAGTACAGGGCTGGTGATGAAACACGTCTGGGGCAGAATTCAAGGCTTCGGTTTGGACACGTTAGGGTTGTAATGACGTCAAGTGAGGCTGTTGATAAACAAGCCTGCATGAAGCTGGGGAGAGATCAGGCCTGGAGGCAAGCTAGTGAGCCAGCAGCATAGGAGTGGTATGTGAACCCTGGGGATGGATTAGATCACCTAGCAGAGAGAAAGAGAAGAAGGCTAAGGGATAGGCCACAGAGCAATCCAAAAGCCAGGTGTCAGGAGACAGAAAAGGTGTAGTCAGCAAAGTAGGAAAAAAAGCAAGAGATGCTAATATCCCACATCAAAATGAAGAAAAAAGCTTTCAAGTAAAGGGTGGTCCATGGAATCAAAAGCTTCTTTAGAAATAATTACTCCAGGCACTTAGTAGCTCCTTCCTCCCAAGCTGCGGCTCCTTATGGGGATGAACCCTATCTTGTGCATGAGGGTTTTTCACAGGCTTTAGTGCCGGAAACACGGGCTCCACTGCTTAGGAGTTGTGACCTTAGGTAAGTTACTTATCTTCTCTGGGCCTTGATATACATCCCCTCCATGCTCATCACTACACACCCAAGTGAACGACTCCAATAGCATCCCATAAGCACATCTACCTCTGTCACTTTTAACTTCCTTACACCTCTATGTTGGGATCCCCTAGGACTGGTTATGGTTAGACTCGAATCAAACAGGACTGTTTGATCTATATAACCATGGGCCTGTTGCTTAATCTTTGGGTTCCTGCTTTCTAAAACAGAGATACTGTTGGTGCCTGGGTGGCTCAGTCGGTTAAGCATCTGTCTCTGGCTCAGGTCGTGATCCCAGGGTCCTGGGATCGAGCCCCATGTCAGGCTCCCTGCTCTGTTGGGAGTCCACTTCTCCCTCTCCTTCTACCCTTAGCCCCGGCTTGTGCTTGTTCTCTCGCTCTCGCGCTCTAATAAATAAATAAAATCTTTTAAAAAAATAAAACAGAGATACTATATACCTCATAGATGGTTATGTGAAAATTAAATCAGATAATGGATATGCTTGGCAGAATAAACGCTCACTAAGCACTATTTATCATCTTTGTATCTACACCACCCATACTCTCAATGCCTGTGGACTGACAGATAACTTGAGAAGGTAAGGACACAGCAGACCCTCCTTCCAGACAGCTAGCATGGAGAAAGGGAGGTGCGCTCAGCTGCTACTCACACCCAGTGAACCTGGACAGGGCTGGCATGGTGGGCTAATAAAGAAAATATAGATTGCTCATCCTTCTGGGAAATACCAGGGATGTCTCCCCCTTCCATATTTTGCTGAGTGGATCCCCACCATCCGTATCAGCATTCAAGCCAGAAATCCAAGCATTATCTGAGAGTCTGTCTTCTCACTCAACCCCTGCCATCTTATTAGTTAACAAGATGCACTCTATTGTAGCTTCAAAATGCCATACTTCATCAAATCCAAGATACCAACCGTTATAAGACACGTAAGACACACCATTATGTTATATAGTTCTAAGAAAGGAAAAAATGCTGCCACTTAAACTGTGACGTGCCACTGACTTTTAGAAGCATCCAAGTTCCAGAGATATTAAAATGTGGGGGAAGAAGAGTACATCTTACAATTGATGAGGTTGTACCTCTCATTCCATCACTGCTACCTTAGCTCAGACCTCATCATCGCTTGCCTAGACTAGGGATGGAAGCTCCTACTCGATCATCTTCCCTCCACTTGTCCTCTGATGCCAAAAGAGGTTTATACAAGGCCAATATTACCAACTCCCACCCCAAATCTTTCAATTAAGTCTTCTCCCATAGCCCCTGGCCCACATTCTTCACTTTAAATTGGCTGCAATTCCCCAGATGTTATATTGCTTCTAGTCTGGAATCGCTTTTCCTCCCATTCTTCATCTGCTTACCTCCTAGCTATTAGAAGTAAGAGTTCTTTAGCCAGGGCATACCTCACTCCAGCCCTCCTGCCTGCTGGGACTGGTTTGGTTAATACAGCTTGTTAAATGGATATCCCTTTCTTCACTCACAAATAAATTCCATCCAAAAATGAACCCTACTCCAAACTCCAAAGACAATTTTCCTATAGAGGACAGTTGGAGTCTCCAAACAAGCTCTAACTCTTGTTTCTTTTTCAACACCTACGTGGGTGTCTGATCTTCCAAGAAGTCTTCCCAAATTCTCCAGTCTGAGTTAGGTAGCCTTCCATGGTGCTCCAGACCCCATGCATACCACTACCATAGCCTTTTTTATACCACATTGTAATTGTTGACTTGGTTTCTCCCCCACTAGACTGACCGCTCCCTGGACACAGGTGCCTTTTTACTCAGCTGTGTTATTCTCCAGAACCTGGAACCTAGAAGGCACTTAATACTTATAAAATGGTTGAATGGGTAGATGGATGGGTGAATGGAAAATGGTTACTGTCTATAACCAGTGGGTCCTAGTTCCCCACTCTGAGATGCTACCTCCAAAATCACCGCATTGCCACAGACTTTCCCCAAGCTTCGTAATTGGCTGAGGCCGCAAAGAGCAATGGCACCACCTGGTGGGCAGTGCGGGAAGCGCACCTTATTGAACAGCAGGAACTTTTTTTTGAACCGTTCTTTTTTTCTTTTTTTTTTTTTGTTGCTCCCGTGGTTAGGAAATGCCAAGTGAGGGGGATTTGTATTTTAAAAAGATCAAGCTGGGGTGCCGGGTGGCTCAGTTGGTTGGGCGACTGCCTTCAGCTCAGTTTGTGATCCCGGGGTCCTGGGATCGAGTCCCGCCTGGGGCTCCCTGCTCAGGGCGGAGCCTGCTTCTCCCTCTCCCTCTGCCTGCCACTCGCCCTGCTTGTGCTCTGTCAAATGAATAAATAAAATCTTTAAAAAAATAAAATAAGAATAAAATAAAAAGCTCCAGCTGATGACTATATGCAGAATGGATTGGAGAAGGGATCCAGGAGGAAGCGGGGATGCCAGCTGGGGAGGTTATTTTGTCAGAGCTGAGAGTCGAGTCCCGATCTGTGACTTGAACACTACCATGCTTACCTGCGTGGTAATACTGCCTCTTTTACCCAGGACCTTCTTTTCTCCCTCTCAACTGAGCACTGTGGCAGGGATTCCAAGATCTGCTCCATGATTTCTGCCTTCTGGTATTCGTGCCCTTGTGTAATTCCCTCCTTCGAGTGTAGGCTTGCCTCTGACTTGCTTCTGACAGAACACAGCAAAAAGAGATGTCACTCCGGTGAGGAAGACTACACAAGACCGGAACTTCGTCCTCCCAGCGGACTCGTCCTTGTTGGCTTTCATCAAATTGCCATGTCGGGGAGACCAATGTAGCAAGGAACTGAAGTCAGTTTTTGGTGAATAGTCTGTTAGTAACAGAATCAACAACCTCAGTCCAACACCCTTGAGGAACTGAAATTCTGCCAACAACTTAAGTGAGCTTGGAAACAGATCCTTCTCCAGCCTTCAGATGAGAACCCAGCCCTGGCAAATCATTGGATTGGGGCCTGTAAAAACCTTGAAGCAGAGGGCCCAGGGAAGTGTGCCTCAACTCCTGACCCAGAGAAACTATGAAATCACAAACGTGCATTGTTTTAAACCACCACATTTCTGGTCATGCATGCAGCCACAGACGACTAATAAGCACCTGCTCAAAATGTGTCACAAGCATGCAGGTCAGAAGCTTGTGAAAACCTTGGAAACTCTGTGGTCAGAATCAACTACTGTACCACTAATGTGTGTGTGGGTGTGCGTATGTGTATCCCCAAGGCCAACCCCGCCAGAGGCTTTTGCAGCTGACTCCACAGAGCATCCCCCTGTGAAATGAGTGACCAAGTATCCCCTGGGTGACCCCGTCAGATTCTAGCCCCGTCCTGTGCTGGAACTGCACTACCTGCTAACTAGCCTCAACCCAATCTTTTTTTTTTTTTTTTAGTTTCAAGTTTTTATTTAACTTCTAGTTAACATATAGTGCAATATTGGTTTCAGGAGTAGAATTTAGTGATTTATCACTTATGTGCAACACAGTGCTCATCACAACAGGTGCACTCCTTAATCCCCATCCCCCATCTAGCCCACCCCCCCCACCTCCCTCCAGCAACCCGCAGTTTGTTCTCTACAGTTAAGAGTCTCTCTTATGGTTTGCCTATTTTCTCCCCTCTATGTTCAACCTCAACCCAATCTCAAACACTTCCAGGTACAAAAAGACCAAAAACAGTCCTCCCTGGAATATGCCTCGCCAACCTTTATGTGGGAAAAAGAAACTCTTCTTTCTTTAATTCTCTGCCTTGTGGGAGAACAGATGGAGATAAAGGAGAAGGAAAGTACACTGGCCAATACTCTGAAAGTCACTGGCTGTGTACCTGTGACCCAGAGAGGATCCCAAGGGACTGACAGGATTCATTACTATCCTAACTAAAAGTAATAACAACAGCATTTATATTCACACAGGGTCTCTTTTCTCTCTTTTTTTAAAGATTTTATTTGAGAGAGAGGAGAGGTGAGAGGGTGAGAGAGAGTGCGTGCGCGTGAGCGTGCATGAGTAGGGGGAGGGGCGGTGGGAGAAGCAGGCTCTCCACTGAGCAGGGAGCCCAACATGGGGCTCCACCCCAGGACCCCAGGATCATGACCTAAGCTAAAGGCAGACACTTAACTGTTTAACCAACTGAGCCACCCAGGCACCCCACACAGGGTCTTTATTCAAGAAGTTCATGATTCATCCACAATACCTCAATTCTCATGCCACCTCCCATCAAGGCAGAGAATGAGG